TTTTTTTTTTGAGACAGAGTCTTACCACGTTGCCCTCTGTAGAGTGCTGTGCTATCATAGCACACAGCAACCTCAAACTCTTTGACTCAAGCAATTATTTTGCCTCAGCCTCCTGAGAAGCTGGGATTACAGGCACCCACCACAATGCCCAGCTATTTTTTTTTAAGAGATGAGGTCGTGGCCGGGTACAGTGGCTCACACCTGTAATCCTAGCATTCTGGGAGGCCCATTGCTGGTGGATTGCCTGAGCTCAGAAGTTCAAGACCAGCCTGAACAAGCGCGAGACCCTGTCTCTAAAAATAGCTGCGCATTGTGGTGGGTGCCTTTAATTCCAGCTGCTCAGGAGGCTGAAGAAAGAGAATCACTTAAGCCCAAAAGTTTGAGGTGAGCTATGATGCAAAGGCACTCTACCCAGAGTGAAAAAGTGAGACTATCTCTCAAAGAAAGAAACATAGAGATGAGGTCTTGCCCTTGCTCAGACTGGTCTTGAACTTCTGAGCTCAAGGGATCCACCCCTCTCAGCCTCCTAGAGTGCTGGGATTAGAGGGGTGAGCCACCACGCCCAGTACACTAGCTTCCTTTATCTTTTGTAGGATGTACGTTGTTTAATCTTTTAGATGAGCTTTCTGAATTATTTTGCCAAGGTCCTTAAAAAGTCCTTTAGGGATACTTTGAGGGTTTTATTAAATGTATAAAGGACTGCAGGGAGAATTAGCTTATTTTTAATCTTGAGTATTCTTATCTAAGAGCAAAATGTTTCTCCTCTCATTGAAATCATTTAGGATCATCATAGTTTTAACATATAGGCCCTGTACATATCTTACATTTTCCCCTAAGTGTTTTAGGTTTTTCAGTTGCTCTTGTGAATGAGATATTTTTCTCCAAATAGGTCACTGTTGTATCTAAGGAAGCTGTTGATTATGTTAACCTCGTAGGTTCACTCTACTTACCTTTGTTCTTAGTTCTAATCTTTTCAATTTCTTCATGTATTTTTCATTCCTATTTTAACTTTTGGGAGGTTTTAGGGCAGAAATGCATGTATTACGGGAATAGGAGATAGGAAAATTTGGAAGAATAATTCCTTTTACCTTGTGTTGGTTGTAATTACTACCACACTATTACTGGGTTGAAAAAAATTGTGAAATCTCAAGGTGCCTAACAATTAGGAGATACCTAAGTGTTCATTTAATAATTGTGATGATTATTGGAATTTCTCTTTCAGTGAGCAGCTATTTATGCAGATGGCAGACCTCATGGTCTCAGATGGCTGGAAGGATGTAGGTTATGAGTACCTCTGTATCGATGACTGTTGGATGGCTCCCAAAAGAGATTTGGAAGGCAAACTTCAGGCAGACCCTGAGCGATTTCCTGGTGGGATCCGCCGCCTAGCTAGTTATGTGAGTTTATAGGTAATTTTCTTTTTCATTCAAGGGACTGCAAGTACATCTGAACGTTGAGTTGTTCAGGCTTATCAAGTGGAATTTTCGTTCCATCAGCAGACATTTGTTTTGCAGTAGCTCCTGAGGCCCATCTTGGAGAACTTCTCTTTTTGCTAAAACCCCAGAATTCTCTAGGAGGAAAAAGGAACTTGGTCCTCAACATATGTGTGCATGTGTTTCCATGTAAGCTTTGGGCAGCTATTGCAATTGTACTATAAACTAGAATTTTAGAAGATAGAGGGAAAATATTCTGGAAGTTACTGAAGAGAAATAGAGCCCAGCACTACTTAAAAGCAATGAAGACAGACTTTATGCATTAATATTGTAATAGGGTAAAGAGCCAAGCTCAAATCCAAATACAACAAAGACAAGGGGGTTTTATAGCCAATGAACAGATTGAGGAGAGTCAGTGGATGGTAAATTATTAAAATGATACATCCAGGTAGGGAGATT